GGCCGAGCATCTCACATCTCAATGGCCATCGCAAAAACAGTCGGCTATGGTTTACAAGAGCCGTCTAGTTCATATAAGCAGGCGACATTCACAGCTAACTCAGTAAACGAATGCGGGACTATGGAATGCGTAGCATACTTCCCTACACCTGGGAGTTTAAGACTGGTCGCACAGGTTGTGATACGACACTTCAAGGACAAGCGTCTCTAATAAGCAGCTGAATAGCTTCGCTCATATAAACAAGGGCTATTTGATGTAATTGTCTCTCCTAGACGCCTGATATATCAAAGCTCCCAAGTAGTGTGGGTCCTAGGCTCATAAAACTAAACCAATGAACCATTGAAATTGCATAAATTTGTGCCACAAGCTAGCAAGCAAAGGCACAACAAGACAAGAGTGTGTTCGTTATGCATGGCAAAATTTTTTTTTAATCATAATACACAAGACGGGAGTGGACGTCTAATCTTGAGAGTTTGTAAATTTTCATAACAGGCGGCTCTCGCTACCATCACAAGTCAGGCTATACGGCAATTAAAAACAGCCGGCACATCACGGCAGATGCAGCTGGCCTTTGAAATCATTGACAAAGTACAAGGTGGAGAATGGGCACCTATGATTAAAGCATCCGGCAGTAGCACAAGCAAGGGGCGAAAGCCGTATGTTTGATAGACTCCTTGCTGAGTGGAAAAATGAAGATGAATTAGAAACACAAGCGTCATAATAAGCCACCTGTGAATATGCAAGCTATATACAAGTGGCTCGGCAATCGACATCATACAACAGGCGGCATGCCAAATGATTATTGAAAACACCCCCTCGTATCTTGGTGCTATGAGATAGCCAGCTCTCTTTGATCAACCACTAAAGGAGACCGGCACCATGCTTGGCCGGATGTGAAGCTTGAGCAGGCGGCATGTAAAGCGTCGTAGCTCAAGCAGCCGGCCTCAAAACCCAAAGAGTAGTCGATTGCTTGTTCATTGCAAGCATGTGTGGGGCTTGACGCCTTGCATATCGTATAAAACCTGCCGCATGATTGTTCAGGAAGTCTCATCTTATGTGTGAGTTGTCACCATAAGCACATTATCATTATTATGATTGCAAGTAAAAAAAATAAATAAATAAAATTGCCTAAGGTTAGTAAAACCGGCTGTTTAGGCGGCACCCTATTGAAGACCGTCTCCCTTCTGTTTATGCGGCACCTTACTGAAGACCGTCCTCCACTTATTTGTGTGACAATCTATCAAGCAAGAGAGGCGACATGAATAGTAGCCGGCCCCCTATACGACGAAGTCTCGAAGCTATGAAAGCAGTCGACCCTCATTAATTTCACTAAGGGGCTAAAGACCGGCGGAAAATGTGTGGGCCGAACAACAAGGTCGCAAACCACATTAAAACAACTGTTCCCATTCGAAGAAAGTAGAGTCACCAATCCTCCATGGAAGGGAGCTAAGTCCTCCATGGAAGGGAGATAAGTGATCTATCTACTCTAACACTTGAAATTATTTCAATACTTGATACTAATTCAGAGGGGCATGTCGCCTGTACCTTTACAGTCGGCTATTCTCCATTGAGTATTTCACTCTATCATCAGAGGGGCATGCCGCTGTACCTCTACAGTCGGCTACTCTCCATTGATTATTTTACTCTATCACCAGAGGGGAATGCCGTCTGGACATATAGTTGGCTACTCTCCATAAGAAAGGGTCGACTGGTTCCAAAACAGACAGCTACTCCACTATACTCAGTTCACCAAGAACTATCAAAGGCTCATGGCTGAAATGATCAGACCAGGCGCCAAGCCAACTGATCCAAATATAAGTTTAATTCGACCTGTCCCAACATTATAGCAGGCGTCCGACGGCATCCATCCGGATGAAATTCGTCGCAGAGAGTAGCTCCCTTTTGGGTGGAACATTGTTCTATAAAATCATTACACGACACCTATACGACTGTCCCCAAGGGCAACCACGTAGCCGTTTTTGAGACAAGGATAACTCTATCACTAACCAAACCGGTGGTAGCAGTTGACATCTGAGTCGGATGACCCCCTGTATTACTTGGGATAAATTCAGGGGGTACCTCTTGAGTTAATAGCCAACAAACATTGGCGAATCAAAAGGTTCAGCCGGCCTCCGCCGCCTGGTACCTTTACTACTCAAGCAGGAGTGACGGCGACTGAGTAACACCAAAGTTAACTCATAGTCACTCTCTCAAACTTAGTATGGAGCCTAAAAGGTATGAGTCGTCCGCCTGTTTTTAGCAAACAGGGGCTCTCAACCACTACTCCTGCTAGGTTAACAACCTTTGAGTTAATAGCCAAGAAAAACTTGGCGAATCAAGGGGACTATCCGGCCGCCGCCGCCTGGTTTCCCTACCACTCAAACAAAATAGGCAGTGATTGACTAACCGCAAGGTTAACCAGTCGCCCTCCTTAGTACGGAACCTAAAAGGTATGAGGAGTCCGCCTGTTTTTTGGTAAATAGAGGTACTCGACCACTATTCTTACTAGGTTGGCTATACTTAAAGCTACCGTATGTAACCCAGCAGGCGTAGCTACTAGACAAGGAGTCTAACGCCTGTTTCTATGCAGCCACCAAAGCAGACGACCAGCCATCCCCCAACGAAATAAACTAAGTACCAAACTTAGTATATTGAATCAAAAGAGGCCAATGGCCGAATAATGCTAAACGCTTACCCCTTATGCAATAGTTGACAGTCCACCTGATCAGGGGCTATCTGCATAGTGGGGCAAAGAATCGACATCTGTCTAGTTCGGCGGCAATCATTATCATGATTGATTAACTTTGAAAATGTCATACCGCCCGAGGTATCAAAATTTTCTAAGTTAATCAAGTCCATCTCCCATTAGAACTAGACAAGATGCCGACCTAGCAAAGCTTCGAGGGTCTAACTTTCGAAAGGAGCAATCCCTCCTGGAAAGAGAAATTACTCCTTCCGAGGGGCAAATGTTTAGGGTAAAAATTACCCATGACAAATGGACCAATCCGGACCTGCCACGTGTCCACCACGTGGGCCAATTAGCGTCCGCCATTTGTCACCCTAAGAGGTCCAACATGGACTAATCAGGCCACGCCACGTGGCCTCCCATATGCTAAATAGGCAAAATGGCCACCAAGGCCCAAAGTCCGAGAGAAGCCCAATTTGCCCTGGTTAACCTAAACCTAAAATTGGCACGCTTCTCAAGACTATAAATACTTAATTAATCCTCATTAAAGGGGATTCAACAATTAATGACTCTCACCTAGAGAAAACCAAAACACATTGATCACTCCTCCCCTAGAGGAACCAGATCTCCTACCTTTACTTTCCGCATTTATCACTCCTCAAACAAGTACTTGATCGTCGGAGGCGGAGCTCCTACCACAAGGAGTCTCCGTTTGTTTTGCAGGTACAGGCGTCCGGTTCCAGTCTCGGAATTGTAACTCTCTCGCAGGACATTAGAAAACCCCGAAATAGTGGTGGTGGCATGACGTATTGGGGGTGGGGCTAGTGGCGTTTTGGGGGTGGTGGTGGGTCAAGGGTTACTAGGTCGGGGGTTACTTAACGGATTACTAGATGGGTAGGTCGGGGGCTACTTAAGGGGTTACTAGATAGATTACTTAAGTGGGGTTACTTGAAGGCTTACTTGGGAGGTTATTTAAGTGAGGTTACTTGAGGGGTTAGTGGAGGGGTTACTTAAGTAGAGTTACTTAAGGGGTTACTAAGTCAGAGAGGTTACTTAAGGGGTTACTAGATGGGTTATTTGGTCCGATCAGGGGTTAATTGGTTGGAGGGGTTACTTGGTTGATGGGGTTACTTTGTCATTTGCTGATTTGACACCTTGCCGCATGGTGCGGCCAGCCGCACCAGAAACACACTGTAAAAAAAATACTACTCCCTCTGTCCCATTTTACTTGCAATATTTTGACTGGACACGCTTGCCGATGCACATGTTTGACCGTTGATATCTTTTATTATATATTTATATAAGTTATAAAAAGTTTATATTAAGAAACTATACATTAAAATAGACCCAACAACATCTTACATGATTACATTGACTTTCATATACTAGTTTAAAAAGATGGTCAAAGGGAGATGTGTCAATAGTGCAAAACGTCAAACCATTGCGAGTAATTTGGGACGGAGGGAGTACATAAGAACCATAAACTTTAGGAAAGTCTAATAAAAATTGGTGTATGCTAAATCTAAGTTTACCTAGTTTACTGTTAAATAAAATGGTATTAAACAGTAAATTGTAGTCGATTTACTTAATTAAATCATAAGAATTTAATCTTATTAAACTGTCATTAAAAAAATAATAAAAAATTGAAGAATAAAAACTTTATTTGGGAAACATTTAACTTAAGGAAAGTTACGAGTAAAACTATAGGAAAGTGTATCTTATCAAAAAAAAAAAAAAAAAAAAAAAACTATAGGAAAGTGTAGCGGACAAAAGTACCTGTTTATAAGGTATGCTTAGTTATAAGAAATAAGATTGAGCCGTCTTAGCTCAGTGGTAGAGCGCGTGGCTTTTAACCACGTGGTCGTGGGTTCGATCCCCACAGACGGCGTTTTTTAAACGTTAAACAGTTTTGTTTCGAATTATTCATTTAACTTCCTCAAAAAAAGCTTAATTGATTTGATTCAGGGTTTTATTTTTCTAAGTACAAGGTTTTTATTTACTATTAACTTTTTTTTTTCCTTTTTGAAAGAATACTTACCATTAACTTATTAAGCAAACATTAGGTTTTTGGCTTAATTAATTGGTTTGAGTCAAGGTTTTGCATTTTTTTTTTTCTTCAACCAAGGTTTTTACTGCTCTGTAGTCCATACTATTAAGCAAACAATAGATAAATATAATTGTAGTTTTTTAAAAAATAGATAGATATAACTCCGTACAAACAAAATTACAATTGCCCGATATTACAAAATTACAAATTTTTTTAAAAGTTTGAAATTAACCTACAAACGTGAAGTAGCACTATATAGATGATACATCATACATGTTTTAAAGGCAGGAAACTAGGCACAAATTTGATATCATCCATAAAACCCATTCCTTGTATCTCAATAGACTTTTCTTCACTCCTTTCATCTTTCGGATCAAGAAGATACAACTTTCTAGAATTAGAGGAGTAGATCAAAATCTTTCCATCATCATATACTCGAATAATCTTAAATGGATAATCAAACTTATTACATTGAGATTCACCTATTACAAACGCCTTTCTCCAAGACTCTTCCATCATCCAAACTTCCACATTTTCATCGCCAAACCTGTTTATAGCTATGTAGAGAGACTCTCCCAACACACCTAAAGACCCTACGTAAAAACTCGATTCGAGCATGACACTTGGCGTAAAGACTAACTCAAGTTCCTCCTTTTCCATGTCTAGCTTTAGAATTTTAGTGTCTCGATCCACAAGACAATACAAAGAACCTTCCCAAACCACTGGATTTTTAAATTTATGAATAGTATCATTCTCAGTGTACTCGCGATATAACGGATGATCATGAGTAATGATTCTTTTTCTCCAATTTGTACATTCGAATTTGTTATTGTTGTTTATTGTGAGGATCTCATAGCTTTTCTCCAAAAATCTGACCACCTTATATTTTCCTATTTTAGGGACGTAACCAAATGCATACCTTTCTAAACTGTGGCAAGTAAAAATCAATTAATTAACTTTCAATTGGTAAAAATTATAAAAAAAATTTCTACCTAATAAAATTTAAATAAAAACTACTTCCTCTGTTTTAGTATTATGGGGAGGGAATCGAACCACTGACCCCAAGGCACTCTGAGGATGCTTTTTTTACTTGCTTTGTACCGCTGAAGCAAACTCTATTATCATGAATAGTATCCATTGTTTAATAATTATAAAGTATTAAGAAGGAAGGTTTTATTATACAATTTTTTTTTTTTAATTTTTTTTTCCGGGGGTAGCACGTGTCCCCCCCGGGTTCCAATGTAGATTCGCCAGTGTGCATCAACAAGCGTAATACAAAAACAGGTCAAATAAAAAAGAACGTATTTAAGAATATGCGAGCCATAATGATTTTTGTAGTCTTGAAAACAACATATGTAAAAGTTTGTATGTTAAAATTATTTAATAATTTGGTTTATATACTACACACAATTTTAAAAATTGTAAAAGAAATTATGTTCAACTAACTTGATCGAGATTGAATTGAGATAAGAGTATCAATTAAACACTAACCTCCTTGTTGTTGATAATTCAATAATTTGAGGAATCGTGAGGTAACGACGATTGATAGGATCTACAAGGAACATGAACGTCTCAGCACGAGCATTATAATAATAATGCTCATCATACCGCCATAACCTTACAAGGAACAAACCGTTGCACGAAGCCAAAACTTCAATTCTTTGCAGCATCATCATATCCTTTCTACTAAATGCAGGTACGAATTCCATGTTAAGACGGGTTATGATGAAGTCGTTACGATTGGAGTCATACTCAATTAAGGACATCCTTGTATCATACAACGATGATGTATACGCTATGAAACTACATGGATGAATATTATCGTACGTTTGATAAAATTGAGGAAACTTTGGGTCTGAAATTATACTATGAAACTCTTTATTGTGTAACAATAAAGGTTTCATGTTATAAAGACTACTAATTGGAAGTCTACATATTATGTCTGTCAACAATTCTTTTGGAAGCTCCATGATTCTTGTTTTTTCTTCATCATACGAATCGTTTTTGGGCACGACACTTAAACTAATTTTGGATGCCATTGATTTTGAACTACGATAGGCTACTTGGGTTTTATAATAAAGATTCTTGTAATGTTTTTTTGTTTTTTTTTTCTATGAAATCTATTGATTTGATGATGTTAAATTGTTTCGATTCGACTATTATTTATGATAAACTTTAGTAAAATTGAAATAGGAAACCAAACACTATTTGAAAACATAACCAAGATTGAGGGAAAATAAAACTTTTGGAAAGTCTAGTCACTACAAGAAAATAACCTTTTCGTAGCGATTATTTTAACCTTTAGTATCGATTGTAATTGCAACAAAAAGTTTTCCCAACAAATGGTCATTCAGCCTTTAGTAGTAGTTTTAAATATCGTTGGGGTTGGCCTCAATAATCGATACGAAAAACTACAACCAATCATGGTGATTATTGTAGCGATTACAATCGCTATAAATGTTTAACTCATTTTCTTAAAAAAAAAATCTTGCGTTTTATGTACTCTTTGTCAAACAATATTTATATATCTAGTGTTGAAAAAGCTTTTCGTATCGATTTTTAGGATTTAGTGGCGATTGTAAATGATGTGATTTCTCAAAATTATATAAATGTGTAAAAATAGTGTGGATATGTATTATATGTTTTCCGTATCGAATTTATATGGGAAAACCATGGCGATTGTAAAAATGATACGACATCCATAGTTATTTCACAAACATACTTTCATATTGTAGCGAATGTATAATCGCTACGAAATAATCGCTACAAAAAGTGATTTTTCTTGTAGTGAGTAGCCCTATTTTAAGTCAACAAAGTTTATAATTAATGTTAGATAAAATAAAAGATTTTGCCATCTTAGCTCAGTGATAAAGTTTAAGTTTATGTTTCAACCATTACCAATCACCGACTCATATCCCTTCTTTAAGACCCATTTACTTACAGTTCAAGGAAAAGGAGGTTAAAGAAAAAAAAAAAAATTCTTATTTTCAAATTTTCTTGACTATATACTTCTGGCAAATTTCAATTTAGGAAGCTAAATTATACAATATATTTTTTTTATTTATATACTCTGCCAAAATCTTATTCACATGATTCACCCAAATTTCAAACCTAATAATTTTGGAATTATATTTGTCATTAAAAATTTTGCAGAAATTTATTGAAAAGTTGAAAATGCACTTTTATTTATTTTATTTTATTTTATTATACTTTATATTACATCATTAAAGAAAATAATGGCTAAGGGCATGTTTACATACTGAAGTGAGCTGAAATGAAATAAATATTTTATGAGAAAGGGAAATTAGAAGCTAATAAACTGAACTGAACTGAATAGAGCTGAACTCAACTGAACTGAATAGAGTTGAACTGAACTGATTGGAGCTGAAGTGAAATTAAGTAAATGTGAACAAGCCCTAAGACCCGTTCACTTCACCCTATTTTTGCTGAACTGAAATTATTTTTACCAAATTGATTAAATTATTTTATAAACCAAACTAGCAATTAGGCTTCGTTCACTTCATCTTATTTTTGCTTAACTAAAATAATTTTAATTTAACTTAAATTATTTTTCTTGAATAGAAATTATTTTTAAGAATTGAAATTAATTACTAAACTGAAATTACATTTACTGATATTCTATTATATTTCTTCTTTATAGTTATTAAATTTTGCTAAACTGAAATTATTTTTATTGAAATGAAATTATTTTCACTACATTGTAAAAGTTACATCTTATTATTTTTACTGAAATGTTCTTATTATAAAGGAAAATTTGTTACAAAGGACCTTTTAAGTCCACTATTTTGTGAGAAAGAACCTTTTAAAAAAAAGTTGGCAAGGAGGGACCAAATATGGATTTTTTTTTTGAGGAGGGACCTATGCCCGGCATTCACCTTAGCCCCACCCCTTTCACGGCAGCCTCCTTTTTCCTCCACCTGACCACCCCTTTTCACGGCAGCCTCCTCTTTCCTCCACCTGACCACCCCCACCCGCACCGCCTCCATCTTCCCGCTCCTCTTTCACGACAAACTCACCACCCCTAACCACTCCCTCTACCTCTCCACTGCCAGCACTGACCTCACACCCACCACCCCTTTCACGACAGCCTGCTCCTTCCCTTTCCCTAAGCTACCCCCACTCCCTTTCCTCCACCCTGATTACTATAAAAATTCATGTGATTTCCTCCACCCTAATCCTAGAATTTAGGGATTTAGAGAATCGAGAAACGAGAGGGATAAAATCAAATTTCTGAATGAGTTAATGAAGGGCATGGAATTGGATGAGTTTTTGAAGAAATTGGGTTCAATTGAATGGATCTTCACGCAAAAGCAGAGAAATGAGAGGAGAAAATTAAAGAGAGGGAAAGACGGTGGGGATCGGAGGGTCACCGGCATGGGGAGGCTTGGGCGCCTGGGTCGGCACCGACAGCGACAGGGGAGAGGGGGTGGTGGGTTGTGGGAAAGGCTAGGACGTTAGGCTACCTTGAAAGAGAAGGGTTTTCGGGGTAGAGGAAGGGATTGCTGCCATAAAAGGGGTGGGGCTAAGGTGGTCAACACCGGAGTTGGCGGGTCAAATCCTGCTTTCCGGGCAATGGTCCCTCTTCACAAATAAAAACTCATTTTTGGTCCCTTCTTGCCACCTTTTTTTTAAAAGGTCCTTTCTCACAAAATAGTGAAAATAAAAGGTTCTTTGTGACAAATTTTCCTATTATAAAAGTTGAATCTTACAATAACAATAATTAACATTAGTAGTAGTTGGATCTATTGTAGGCAAAATTGAAGAATCTCAAAAAACAAATGTGAACAAAGTTCAATTCTAATTGTTATCATTCTAAATTCTTTAACCAACTATGCTAATACCAAACTCAATCTCTAAAAATCTCATAATTCCTCAAAAATGCCTTTAGTCCTATTTTTCATTTTAATCTTCTTCTTCTTGTTCCACTTCTTCCTCTTGGATTTGGAAATACCAGAGTAAGGATGGAAATCGGCATATCCACAAAGAAGTTTATCACCAAGTGCGTAAAGCAGACCAGCATCAAGAGTTACAATCACAGCATATTCATAGCTGCAAATATCATGATATGACTTCTTGTTCAAAAAATTAGCGTTGACAGAAGTACCACTGTTCAGCACTTGGCTACAATTTACTCCCCTCCATTAATCCTAGGCACTTGTTTACCCAACACGACCCTAGCAAGATCGTCGAGTCCATGATTTTTGTAGTGCACGCGATCATTATCTTCACCTTCATCAACTTGCAGAGGAGGGTGCACAATGGAAGCAAGCTTGTTGACATCAAAGGAGTTGTGGAACTTGATATCGAGGTCAAGTTCAAGTTTCTTTGCGACGTGATCCATGTTTTGGCCAATTACTACCACAAGAGGGTCTGAAAAGAAGGAGCAGAGAACGCAAACGTCACGAGTATCATAATTGTAATAATGTTCGGTATCTGTGCTGAATATGAGACACTGATTTCCGACGCATATAGAGAATGAATCGTAAGGACGATCATTACGACTGGTTGTTAATTCAGTTTCCGCGGTGAAACCTACAATGATGGAGTAGCTGTTGCAAGAAGAAGGTGGATGGTGTTTGAGGATGTCAGTGAACCATTCTTTGGCTGTTACTGCGCAAACGGTGAAAACAGTGAGGATACGGTGTTTATCGAGGGAGATTGTATAGATTTTTGTTCCTAACCAACGAGTGTATGTGGGTTAATTATATTTGAATAATTTTAGGAGTCTAGTTAAGTGGATTGTTATGAATTAGTCAAAGAGTATATCATTGGGTTAGTGGAGTAATGTTACTATGTTAGTGGGATAATGTTCCTAAATTATAGGACCCATTAGTTAGATTTTTCGTTTTATTTAAATGCCAGTAGAGCAACTCCAAAGGCAAGCTAATTGTAAAGCTATTCTTCCTTCTAGCTAATTTATGCCACAATGGTTAAGCTAATTATCATTTAGATTTTTCAGCTTTATTTTTTAAATAATTAGTATTTTATTAGAGATAATTAATTTCTAAGTTAATTTGCTTGGCATTAGTTTGGCCAAGCTAATTATTAAACTATCCTGCAATGGTTTAGCTTTAGCTTGAAAATTATTAAAATTACAAGCTAATCCCTAAAAGCAACCATTGGAGTTGCTCTTATGTAAGTTGATTTCATCGTGTGAATATATCAAAATTATAAGTTTGAGTTTCTGTTTTATAGCTTCCGTGCATTGTTCTTTTCATCCCTCTTAAAATATTAAACACCGAGATTGTTTCGAACTTCATTTAATTGAAACTTGATTTCCATGGTTATTTGCAAGGTTTTTGCTTTTAGCTTTTCGATATGTATGATATGACCAACACCATGCAAGTTATTACAATGGAATCCTTTGTTTATATAAGTATTCATTCATCCTTGTCAATTTATATAAATTAATGAAATATGTAAAGATAATTTATTAAATAGCATAATATATGTAAAAATAAATGTATGAAGTTATATAATAGGTAAAGATATGATTGTAAAATATATCCAAAATCTACAAACAGTAAAATTCCAAATAGGTAAAGATTTTATTGTAAAATATATCCAAAACCTATGAACAGTAAAATTCCTAATAAGTTTATACATAACATAATAGGTACAGAAAATATTCACTCTGTATAAAATAACATAATATCTATAAAAAATTTCATAATAGGTAGGATATTTTGACTTTTCTCACCAAAAAATATCAAGAAATTATTTTTTTAATACCAAAACTTCTCAAAGTTTTAATTTACCACCAAAGAAATTCTAAATATTGTGCTTTTTACCACTTGCTGTTCAGAAAACTGTTCAGGAAAAAAAATTCTTTTATTTTCATGTCAAAACATGTTATTTAGAAGTTTTGGGGGTTATTTTGGTTATTTGGGACGGATTTGAGACAAAAAATAAAAACGTACGTGTTCATAAAAACCTAATCAATTACATTATACTAAAGGCGAAACTTAGAGAACACTAGTCAAAATATTATAAAAAGTTTTCTCTCCAAAACCAGTTACTAAACAAAACTTATTGTAATTAAATTATGACTTTTAGTTTGTATAAAATCTAAAATAAATGTCCTTAAATATCAAATTGCCCATTTTAACTATAACGTGTTTAATTAATTTTTTTCACAATATTTCATACTTTTTACTACTAAGTCAATTTATAATATTTATATCAATTATTTTTGGTAAAAATTATTGTCATTATATTATTTAACAACCGATTGGACGGGGTTTAGGGCCTGTTCTGTTCCGTTGAAATTCAGTTCAGTTCAGTTCACTTCAGTTCAGCTCAGTTCAGTTCAGCTCTGCTCTTAATTTATGTCTAATGATATTGCTAATGATATAAAGCCAAATTTCATTCTTTTAAGCTCTTATTACAACGACAACATCAACAAAAACAATAATAATAATAACAATAATAATTGAAATAACAACACTAATAATAATAATCAATAAATAATAATAATCATCAATAAATAATAATAATAATAATAATAATAAATAGTATATGTGTTTAAAATGTTTAGAGGTTTCAAGTTTTCAATATATTTTCCATACATTTTATAATATATTTTCCATACATTTTATAATTATAATTATATAGTATATTTTTCGTAAATATTTTAATATGTACATTTGTATATACACATATGTATAGTAATAAATAATCAATAAATAATCAAAGATCACTAATCCGTAGTTAAAAATCACTAATTAATAAGTTCAGTTCAGTTCAGCTGAGTTCAGTCAATCGGAACAGGCCCTTAATCTAGTGAGATGATATATATGAAGTAATATAATAGGTAAAGCTGTAAGTGTAAAATGCATCCAAAACCTATGAACAGACTAACAGAGATTGTAAAATATAATAGGTAAAGATATGATCGTAAAATATTCAAAACCTATGATTGTAAAATATATCCAAAACTCTGCAAACCAGATTAATGCTAGCAATTTTTTTATGAAAAAAAAAGGTTTATGCGTGAGAGCTTACCAATGAAAACAAATGAGGAGAGGTCGAACCAGGAATGCAAGAGACTGACTAGTGAGGATGAATTCGGGGGTGTTCTTCCTGCTGCCTTCCTTTCCTCGAGCACTTATAAACCTATTTCAAAGATTGGATAAAATTCATATAAACAATCTAGCTTTCAAGGCATATTTGTATCTTATTCATAATATAGCTAAGTGTATTCTGAGGTTAATCTTGCCCATGTTCAACTTATTTTCCCACTTTAGCAGGTTTGATAATCGTATTTGCTCGTGATTTTTTTGTTTATCTTAGAAACAAATTCGCTATGATGTTTCAATAGCAACTATGTGTCATTTAAGTACATAATCTTTTCATATCTGTATGTATTCTAATTAAAGTTCTTGGATCGATCCAATTTTACTTCTCATGAAATGGCAAACGCAGCCAGGAAAAGTGGCTAGTCATTGACTCACCGTTCTCATGTATTGAGTATTTCTTACATTAGAGAGCTGGCACAAGCGTAAAATAATACTTCGTTTGAACCTGTTGGCAAAATAACAGTAGCACAAAACATGAGAGTTTGAATCATTTGAACCAAATATGAAAATATATTTTTTAAAATTGCAGATAAGGATGTACAAAAGTTTATTACATTGCAGTGCTAATGAACAAATACACAATACATATTACAAATATCTTACAAATTATAGGTGTCGAATTGTAGTGCGGACAGAATTACTAACTCAAATCACTCAATATCTATCTGTTGGGGAGATTCTTCTTCTACGTCTGGTCCTTGGGCATCAATTTCTTCCTCGGTAATTCCAGAAGCTTCGACTGTCTTGTTTACCCACTCCTTAAGGGGCTCTTCATTCAAGTCGAGCTTAAGAAGGCCTGCGAACATTCCACCCATGAATGCCACAGGTTCCTGAAAAGACAATTTTGAAGCTTAAATCATTATAAACAGTGCTGCACATACAAAGTATATGACTATGCATTTCTATGTGTGTTGTCATGGAATAATGGCATTAAATTTTTTTGAAATATCATAGGGAAAAAAAGACAACATGGCAATTTTGAGAGCTGTAAGTTGTTTTAAGTAACCTAGAAAATAAAAATAATAAATAAAAAAAACCCACATCAAAGCAAGTACAGTGTTATTGCTAACAGAGAACATACATACAGGATCCAATATTTAAGCATAGTGCTGATAGTGGGATAAAATGATAGTCATGGAGCATGACAATTTAAAGCAACCAAGATACTGAGCCTAGTTGTACCGATGTCTGAACTGCTCTATTTTGCTCCCCTGCCATTACCCCTCTGATCGTGCAGATGTGTTTTTTCATTTTCCTTTCCTTCTTTCTTTTTTTATTTTTTATTTTTGTATTCGGGAGGAGGGTGGATTGTCCATCCTTTTTGACCCTCAGTTATATACAAGCAGACAATAAAAAACATTTTCCAGCAGAAAGCCTAGTAATATAAACAGCATTCAGCTTACATAATATGGAGTAATTCATATATAGTTTGACTCCACTTCCTTTTGCCATGTCCTCTTGAAATGGTATACAAATTTGGTAAAACAGAGATAAATTAGTACTCTATCAATAGCGTGCCTAGAGAATGTAGTTCTGCATCGTATCAACAGCGTACCCCAGAGTCCAGACTTTTGGCTTTCAAGGATCTTCCTTGGTAATCATCCAGACATTCATCCATTAGTGAAACACAGGACCAATTGATTAACTCATTCCAATCTCCATAACTTTTTATATGATCTTCTATAATTACACTAAACATGGACTAGTCATCCTTCCACAATATTTACTGTTTTGGTCAGCTGCAATGGGCTGAACCAAAAGTCTCACTGAAGTGTGTTCTTTTGTTGGCTTAGCAAGTTAGCAGCACCAAGCCAATGCTTGTGTTCAACTTTCCTGAAAAGGACCTAATTATGACCGCTTCACTGTAAAAGTTACTCCATATATATCTGGAGATTATTCTTTTATTTTGACTAGGAGAGGGGGCGGCACTAAGGTGTCAATAAGCTAAGATGCTAGGAGGTAAGATACTACGACAGCTTTACTGTAAAAGTTATTCCATATATACCTGGAGATAATTCATTTATTTTGATTAGCAGGGGGGCGACTCTGAGGTGTCAATAAGCTAAGATGGTAGGAGGTAAGATATAATGCTTGTTAAGTAATTTTTTAGCTCTGTCCCGTCATATTATTTCATTGCTTTAGCAACATGGATAGGAAAATGTAACTTTCTAACCCTTAATCATGAAGTTCTGCAACTAAATTGAGCAAAAGGAAAGGGGGTGTGGGGGGGGGGGGGGGAAATCAGAAGCTAGTTTAAATTTATAGTTTGACAATCCTTTACAACCACCAAAACACCTGCAGGATGTCATTCTACAAATTTACAATGCATTTATATCTAGGATTTTCGTTAACACTACTTTAGTAACCAAAGCAAAACTGTAACAGCAAATTTATTTTCTTATCTTCTTCCGGTGGAGAGAAGAAGGTAGTAACAGGAACAAAATAATTAGAGTGGATTTACTTCTCCATACAAAAATCACAAAAAAATAAAAATAAAAAATAAACAGAGCAAACGTCAAATTTAAGCTCATGAAGTTGCAAGGACACAAAAGTAAGAAATCTTAGTCATCGGGAACAAACCAATTCAATAAATATTTGAAATCGAGCAAAAACAAACCAAAAGAGTGGAAAATTTGGCCATAATCATGCATAAGTGAGAATGTACACAACTTAAGGTATTATTAAGATCTCTCCAAAAAGAATCACCGAAATTGGCTGATTAATCTAATTATGATGTTGCTGAGATTCAGAGATCTGTTCAAGGCTAAGGCTCAATTTTGCACCTATATCTAAGTCAACCATTCAAAGGAACAAATAACTCGTCGAGTTCAGTATATGAGCAAGACCAGGGAATTCTGTTTCATGAGGATCAAAGGATCAATTCAGACCATTTTGGAGTAGGAACAGTCATCAGTGTTAATCACATTTAACACGTACTTCGTATTTCTTATACCATTTCACAAATATTAGAGTTTGCAGCATCAATCCTAAGGGTGCTGCACTCTTAATAACATCAAAGGTCCAGAGAAAGTTCAAGTTCCTACAGTAAGAAGCTTTTATTCAAAATTTGTACACTACTTTATTTCTTAGTCTTTTCAATTTGGTTCAACTGTTCAAGTGTAAACAACAAACTTCAGACATTTTAGAGGCGGAAACATCGAACATGAAAACACAATCAAGGAAGAAATTCTTCGAACCTTAAATTGGCATTCTCATCTTTAATTTCCAAAACTTAAGAGCAAAATACGAAAGCCAGTAACCTAAGGAAGTAATTCTTCGAACCTTAAATTGGCATTCTCATCTTTAATTTCCAAAACTTAAGAGCAAAATACGAAAGCCAGTAACCTAAGGAAGTAATTCCTCGAACCTAAAATTGGCATTCTAACAAAGGCATTATTTTCAGCTTACTTTAACAATTCAAAAAGCAGGTCAACAAATTGATGAACAATCAAAACATATACACTTCAAATATCAAATTACAGTAAACAATATAATGATAACTATAATTGGAATTGAATTTAAACCTTAAATGCTTCCTTCAAAATTGGTTCATCAGATGGATTAAAGAAGAAAGCTCTAATTGAAACTGTTCTTGGCGAAATCCGATGAATTAATGATTTCTGATAATTTTTGGGGGCAAATTTTGGAGTCCACTGCAAATAACAGAGTTAAAGATTATACAATGAACTAGAGGGTAAGTGATTTAATTGAAAGGGAAAATCAAAATTCAATGATTGATGAAAGAGAATTTCTCAGAGAAGCTTACCAATGAGCTAATTGGAGGAGAAATGAGTAGAAGATTTGCCATTTTTCTGATGATTGCAATCGATAACCAAGAACCCTAACCACTAACCTCACCGGTCAATTGAGAGAGGAAGATAAATGTAAACTTGCAAAAACTAAGGGGGGCGTTTGGTTGGCTGATTATAGTTTAGACTTTAGAATGACCACATCTCATACTGTTTCATTGTCAAAAATATGATTTATTTTTTAAACCCATACCTCAAATTTGTTTGGGATTTAGAAACGTTGGGGATGTGTGTTTGGCTCCTTCCTTTTTTTTTTTTTTTTTTTTTTGAGGTAAAAGAGAAAATTCTAGCTCATTCCATTCCCTTATGTATCAAATACATGAAATTAAGGGAATGATATTCTATTTCAAAATTGAATCATACACATGGTATTAAGTATCGAGTGCTAGCCCGATACCACCTTAACCCTATTCTTGATTTCAAACCTATATCACTTTGCGAACCAAACACCCCCTAAAAGTCTAAAACACGTTTATTATTGTGAAGAGCTAAACGACGCTCTTATTTTACTAGGTAACGCTCGTATTTAAACATGAATGGTCGAATGGTCAAATATATTCTTGTGTGTAGTCCATGTTTTTCTTCACTCTAACCCAAATCTAATAGTCTCTCCTCCCAACAAACCACCATCGAATGAATGTAAAGTCATCGGATTCATCGCCAGAGTTAAAGTAATTTTTTATTGAAAAAAATGGGTGGAGGTCAAACGCCTAATTTTTTAAAAATTCTAGATTTTTAGGAGAGAAACGCCTAGAATTTTTGAAATTCCAAAAGAGATTCAATCGTGTGAAGTTCGGTACCCACATATAATATCTAAAACGCCCCTTTTACCTCTATTAATATGAATATATGATGTTGATTGTCTCTAAGTTTTTTCTAGCGTGATTTAACTATGATCTTATGAATAATATTTGTACGATTTTACCCTTTAAATGTTTATTTACTTATTTTTCTTCATTAATATTAACTGCTTTTTTTTAAAGCTTAAGAATAGCAAGTGTGCGGACATTTACACCTTATAAATTATTGTTTACATATTTTCTATCATTGATATTGATAACAAATTAAAAGCTCTCCAAACATGGCTAGTTGCATGTGACACGCATATCGCGTGCGTTAGCCACCCTAATATAAATATAAGATTAACTATTTAAATGTTTATCACGTTAATTAATATACTATGATGAGTTGTCATACACACGTATAAGATTACTATTTAAAAATTTATCATCACGTTAATTAATATACTATGATGAGTTGTCATACCCACTATAAGATTACTATTTAAATATTTATCACGTTAATATACTGTGAATCTATGATAAGTTGTCATACACAGGTATAAGATTAACTATTTAAATATTTATCACGTTAATATATTATGATGAGTTGTCATACACACCTATATAGATCAACTAGTATCTACATACTAGGCATGTCAAAAATATATCCAAAATAAAAATATATATCCAAAATTAAAAAATATCTAAATATACATGCACCCTAAACCGGTATTAAAAACTTATATAAAGTGAGGCTAGCGTTACAATTTCTTTCACAAACCCTAAAAACTCCCGTTAAATACGAGGTAACATCAAATTAGCCGAGTAAAATTAAAAATTCAATTGAATTTACCAAGAGAAAGAAAAAATGCAGATCTTCGTGAGAACCCTAACTGGGAAAACTATTACCCTTGAAGTTGAGAGCAGTGACACCATTACCAATCTCAAGTCTAAGATCCAAGACAAAGAAGGTACTTACTAACGTTTCATATTCGTGTTGTGGTTGTCGTATATATTATTTTGTAACGTATTTTCATATATAATACTTTCTCCGTGAAATTACACATCCTAAAACACATTTTATATATATGCTAAATATCTATAATTGTTTATAAAAAGTTGATATCATAAAAGTATTTTATGAGACGAATCCAACAAGATCTCACTTGACTATATTTTGCTTAACGTATAAATCATATTATATGTTCAAACAAAAGTGAAGAATAGTGCAAAAAGTTCGTTGTTGCAATATTAATAGAACAACAGAAGTATTATGTGTAGGTTGTTTTTTTTATGGTTTGAAACGAATATTATTTGACTAAAAATATATAGCAAGGGCTTTACGGAATTATTTGACTAAAAAATATAGCTAGGGCTTTACGGAATCAAATTTCTTAATTTTTACCATAAAAGATTTTTTTTTAAAATTTTTTTTATGGTATTGAAATTATTTGACTAAAAAATATAGCTAGGGCTTTATGGAATTTATATTTTCTAATTTGGATCTTTTGCAATAATTTTGAACTTTTTTTTTTTTTTTTTTTTTTACAATGAATTTTGAACTTGATTCCGTATTTCCGTCCATATTAACAACGTTTTATTAAAATACGTATAGGGATTCCACCAGATCAGCAACGTTTGATCTTTGCTGGTAAGCAGTTGGAAGATGAACGTACTCTTGCGGATTACAACATTCAGAAAGGTTTTGCTCTTATTTATTTTTATCATTATGTGCATAATAATACAATTCTTACGCTAATTTTTATTATTTTGATTAAAAAATTTATAATTTTTTGTTAATTATAACCATTGTTATTGTTGTTTGTAACTTAGAATCGACTCTTCATCTTGTGCTGAGGCTTAGAGGTGGCAAACCAATGAATATCGAGCCATCTTTGGTTCAATTGGCTAAACAATACAGGCAAAACAAGATGATTTGCCGCAGGTATATATAATTATAATCATTCTTTTCTAATTATTTTACTCGCGATACAATTATTAATATATAAGAGTACATACATGTTCTAGTTTTAGTTTAGAAATTCAAACATGGTTCGTTTTTAATTGATTTCATAAATAGTAATCATCCAATATCATTTTTATTTTTTCTTTTCAATTGGGAAGGTTAACAAGGTTATTAATTAGAATTCAATTATGAAAAGTAATATAATTTCTAAAATTAATGTGTTGTGGTTTGCAGTTGCTATTCTCGTCTACATAGTAGGGCTACACAGTGCAGAAAGAAGAAATGCGGGCACAGCACTGATGTAATTCTCTTCCCTATATAATTTGATATGGAATATTAATTTGTTTGATTGGATTGGAATTTTACTAATTAAAAAAATGCATAAAAATTAGAAAATCTTAGGGTTCGTTTGGCATTGTTATGGTTTTCTGTTTTCATGTTTTTTGTTTTGTAAAAGTATATTATATATGTCACATAATGAATCAAAAATTATTTAGACTTACGTAATATTAAAATGATAATTTTGAAAACGAACAACAAAAAAGTGAAACACTTTTCTTGTTTCCTGTTTTTGCCAAACAAGCTCTTACTTATTAATTTATTTTGTGTATAAAAATACGTATTTATTAAATTTAAGCTGATTAGATATTGAGGAGCATATATTAGAAAATTAAACTCCCGTATAATTAAAACTCAAAAATACTTCTAAAATAAACTTAAAAAACTTGATTTAAAGCTATCATTTATTATTATTTGTCAAAACCTGTTACGAGTAGATTGTTATGGAGTACTAACTATTACGATTATTTAACGGTTTTGACCTATGCTGATATTATTCTTTTTATTCTTGTTATTTTGTTGCAGTTGAGACCTAAAAAGCCATCTAAATTTGTTTAAGCAATCTTGCATTTTATGATTGGATTTACGGAGAAGAACGAGATTTTTCACAGTGATTGTTTTTATTTTTTTATTTATTTTTTTATAATTATGCATTAAGACTTCCGTTAATATTTTGTCTTGTTATTTTTCTCTTTTAGCTCCTTTTATGGGCGTATAATACATTAATACAGTACTGTTTAAGTATAAATTCTGACGATTATCAGAACACTTATTCCTTCGATTGTTTACTTTACGCTTTGTTTGGATAGCAAAGAAGAAAGGAAAAGAAGGGGAGGAAAAATGGAGGAAGGGAAGGGAAAAGAAAGGGAGAGGGAGGGGGAGGTGAGCTCCATTTTCCCTCCAAATCTCTCCAATTTTGGAGAGATTATGGTTATTAAAGAGAGAGGGAAAATGAAACCCTCCTTCCCCTTCCTTCCCCCAATCTTTTACCCAAACAAGATATTTTGTCCCCCTCCATTTCTCTTCTCTTCTTTTCCTTCCATTTCTTCCTATCCAAACAAAGTGTTATTGTCGACTTGTCGTTCATTAAACTCATGTCCAAAAAAATAAATAATCAAAGCCAAGCCTTACTTGGGAGTGATATATATAGCTACAAAATTAGATTATGTAAATAATTAAAATTTTGAGTTGCACTAAATTGATATCCGGTTTACACTAATATTAATGTACATCGAGCATTATAAAGGGTAACTTTAAGTCATTTTAGGGTAACTTTTGCCCTTTTTTGGGTAACTTTGAACATAATATGATTTTTTTTTTATATATATAAATAGAACAAGAAAAGTTTTATAAGAATAATAAAATTACTTTCAATCATTATTAATTGAATTTTAGTCATTTAAAATGTGATTCGTTACCAAAAAAAGTGTATATTATATTTATTTGAATTGGGTTACTTTTATACATATTTGAGTAACTTTTATTTATTTTAAGGGTAACTTTTGATTACATTGAGAGATCTTCATAATGGATGTACAAGATTTTTTAAAAAGTTTGTGCAAAAGATTAAGGTAAGATTAAGGTGTGTTCCATATTTGTATCTTATATCTAATTGAACATATTACAAATTAAACATATCCATAAAAAAAAAAGGTATTTGCTCTATTATCTATCAATAAATTACAAATTACTTAATTTGTTCGAGAATACATGACAAATGTCAGCATTACACACATGCTAATACACTAGTTTGACTCTATTTTATATATTTAAATATTAATGAAAATTATTTTTAAAATTATAATATTATGAAACTTTATATTAATACATACTTCCTCTGTTTTTTTAGTTGACACCTTTCTATTATTACACTTGCCAACGCATGCTTTTAACGCTTAATAACTTCAATTATCAACATTATAAAATTATAAAAAGTGGATATATATATATATATATATATATATATATATATATATATATATATATATATACTATTCAAACAAGATCTCACATGAATATGTTTTATCGTATCTATAAACCACAAAAGCGAGTCAAAGCATGTTATGTGAATAGTGTAAAAATCAAACGGTGTCAACTAAAAAAACGGAGGAAGTATCTAACAACATATTTTATGATAAAATATATTTTTATATATTAGAAAAAAATTATAGTCAAAGCAAGCTAATGCATCAATAGCAAAAAAAAAAAAAAAAAAAAAAAATAACGTCTCATATTTTTGGGACAGAGGGAGTATATTATACAGATTGTGTAGTAGGCATGCATAATAGTTAGGCATGTTCTCATACGTTTATTTTCAGTTCAGTTCATTTCCTAATTTCCTTCTCTTATAAAATATTCATTTCAGTTTAGTTTAGTCCATGAGAACATGCCCTTAGTAGTAGGATCTAAACTAATTATGAGAGAGTAATGTTGTGGTCCCATGGTTATATATAGTGCAATCTTTAAGTTAAAGGGACACTCTTTATTAACAATGGAGCAAACAAATAGAGTAAAAAGAGTATGGAACTTTTGTTGCATAACAATGGCATAATGTTATTTTTGTAGAATAATAAAAAGTGATAGGATACTTTAAGTTTAAGAATTTAGTGTATCACAGTAAGCATTTACAATACCATTACATTAACAAGTAACAATGGAACAATTTTACAACCTAATGGTATATAAATCAGGTTCAAAAGTATACCATTTTTTTTTTTGTTTTTTTTTGTTTTTTTTGGTGTTTCACCCGATTTATCCTTTGGGCTAATTCGGATTCGGGTATCAGTTTTAAGTGGTTAGGTTCCAGTCCCCTCCCAATTGTTATTGCGGGGGATCGAACAAAATTTCTTCCTACTCAGTGTAGTCTTAATCACCACTACACCAACAGCAAAGTGGTAACCATTTATAGTATCATTGAACTATCAATGATTTCACAACTTAGGGCCTGTTCTAGTTCAGTTCAGTTCAGTTCAACTCTTAATTTACGTCTAATGATATTGCTAATGATATAAAGCCAAATTTCATTTTTTTAAGCTCTTATTACGACGACGACGACAACAACAACAACAACAACAACAACAACAACAACAACAACAACAACAACAACAACCACAACCACAACCACAACCACCACCACCACCACAACAACCACAACCACAACCACAACAACAACCACAACAACCACAACAACAACAACAACAACAACAACCACAACCACAACCACAACCACAACCACAACCACAACCAAAATAATAATCATCAATAAATAATAATAATAATAGCAATAATAATTGAAATAATAATACTAATAATAATAATCAATAAATAATAATAATAATCATCAATAAATAATAATAATAATAACAACAACAACAACAATAATAATAATAATAATAATAATAATCAATAAATAATAATAATAATAATAATAATCAATAATCAATAATTAATAATAATAATAATAATAATAATAATAATATGTACATTTGTATATACACATATGTATAGTAATAAATAATCAAAGACCACTAATCCGTAGTTAAAAATCACTAATTAATCAGTTCAGTTCAGTCAATCGGAACAGGCCCTTAGTGATACTAGTATTAATAACTTTCAAAATAATTACAAGTTTGTCATATTATGTAAGCTCTTCTGTGATACTAGTTTCTTTCAAAATAATTACAATTCAGTTTGTCATATTATGTATTCTCATATACATAATGATATGGGTATTTCCTTATCTCGCTCCCTCCTCGACTTGAACTTAAGACCAACAAGTCTTAAGTTACAAGTCTTACCATCTTAACTATTTATTAATTGTGTTTTTTTATCCAACAAAATTATAATTAATAACTTTGATAACTTAATTGGTGTTTTATATACTATTTGTTTCCATTATGTAATGATTGCGTTTGGCAGCTAAAAAATGTTTATAGCAAGACTTAAAATCGAAACCAACAAGTATAAACTAGCAAACTGGGGCATCGCCGGGCCACACACTAGTTAGTGATTAAAAATTGCCCCTTCCTTAGCTTCAGCTTTTGCATGGAAGAAAAACAAGATTGAATTAAGAGTCAACGTAGTCCCAATTTATCAATATATCAACGCGACGCATAAAAGGGAAGGGCATAAAAAGGAAGGAAGAACAGGGAACGAAGGATCTTGACCCTCTGGGTTACTACTCCAGTAACTGTTGATACATGACGGTAATCTAGAAAAATCGTGTGTAGAAGATTATCTAGAATAAAATAGAAAAAACTAGAATTTATAGTGTATGGAAAAATCTTGTAAATAGTTCTTGTGTTAAATATTATATGAAAAATCTAGAACTAGTGCAAGGAAAAATGGTGATATAAGTTAAGAATCAACATACTTCACTATAAATACATGCTTTGTGCAACAATATTACCAAAGCTTGGGTAAAATAATAACTCTCACAAAATTGTTGTATGGATGAATAACCACCCACCAAAATATTGTTGCATTATATAAAACATTACCATTTGTACATAGTTGCATTATACAAAACATTACCATTTGTAATTTATGAAATTGTAAAATAGATGTATTATATTCGGCTACATTAAACTTTACATCTGTCCAATTTGTTTTTTTTTTATGAAATATCTATTCGCTAAACCCTATCAACATAATATTAAAAAAAAACAAAACAAAAAAAAACCTTTGTACAAATTGAATTTGTCATCTCTAAAATAATCTTCAAAACTATACAATAAACATTAGATATTTTGCTTGGATACTTATATATATGCCAAATATACAATTCTCTAAAATTTTCAACATAGAGTTTAATTTATTTATTTGCACAAAATATTGGAACTAAATAATATGAACAATATGGATATTATAACCCTATCACTAGAGGTTTAACATAACCCTCTGCCAACTATAATCGGACCAAATCATTTTTCCGTATTCGAAAAGAGAGAAAAGTAAGGTTAAACATTTGTCAGAAAGATTGATTTATCAGAATAATTCAATTTTAAGTAGGAAGAAAAGTTAATACTGCTAAGAGAAGTATATAATTGTAGCGGCAATTTTTAGGTTGTAAGGATAGTTAGTTAAAATGTCAAATACACAAAACGGATCTATTGAAATTCGATTAAGATTTGAGATGATTTTATTTTAATTTTACAAAATACGCAAGTTGACAAAAAATCTATGAATAATGATTTAGGATTAAAATTATTTAAAAAATAGCCTTATAAAAATTATCCAAATATCTGAGGAATGAGATAATATGAGTATAAAATGAAAAAAAAATTTGTTATTTTAAATTGATTACAAAAGTCACCATAAGTATTGTGAGTTTGCTCATAAAATAAAATTCCCATTTTATTTTAAAATTAAATATATATCACCCCCTTTATTTTTTAGTTGACACAATTTAACTTTAGCATTATTCACACATTTTCCTTTGACCGTGTTTTGTGATTTATACGTAATGAAAAATATATTCATCATCTACTTTTTATAATTTTTGCTTTTCAATAATTAAGAACATTAACTGTTGAATATGTACTTTGGCAAACATGACTAAAGAAACGTGTCAACTAAAAAAACAGATGAAATATGTAATTTAGGATTTTAATTATTTTAACTTCAACTGATCTTGTTTCTCAATCAATCAAAGTAATCTTTCATCAATTCCACAAAACACAAACAAACATTAACAGAAAAATTTTCTAGAAATTAATTTTTTTGTTTTTTTAAAAAAGATCGAACATCCAATAATACCCGAGTTTCTTCACCTCAATTCACGCATGTATTCAAGCTGCTTAGCTAGTTCTGAGTTCTGCATAATGGTGAAAGCAGATAAAAGGAATTTAATGTTGCAACTAATGTCAAATTTCGCAATAGAAAATAAATACACATTCCTTTCTTCATTCAGACTCAAGCATCAAATAAACAAATGAAGTAATACTTAGTACAAGAAATTTAAAACAATATAAATATATATATATAAAATTGAGATCTTGTGAGAATCAAGGTGAATAATAGGAACTAGGAACTAATCTCAGCCATTGATCGCACTCCACCTAAAGGCTCACATTGCACCAGCTCTCATTAATGGCATTCTCATAATTTTGCTGTTTCAAACTTTTTTTCCAGTTTTTTTTTTTTTTTTTTTTTTTTTTTAACTTTTAAGGCAATTTCATTTACTTTAAGACTGATTTCATTTACTTTTACTAAATTTTCATTTACTTTTGAGAAATGAAACTGTAACCTACTTTATAAAGTTAAAAATATTACAAAAATGTCATTAATGATACGGGATGCATGTGAGCCGTCCGATTAACATGATCTAAGGGCCTAGATTAGTTCCTAGTTCTTATTTTAGCCTTGGTTCTCATTATAACTTGATTATATATATATATATATATATATATTGTTTTAAATTTCTTGTACTAAGTATTACTTCATTTGTTTTGCCTTCAAAACAGCTTGCATGGTCTATGAATTATCTAGCGGTAGCCAATTTGGTAATTAAGTACAAAACAATGAATCTAAGTCTAATTAAAAAAAGAACACTCCTACTCTTTGCCCCTTTGTTCGGTAAAATAAGTCAGCTTTATTATCAAGTTGCCACAACAAGAAATACATAGCTGCTACAACAGAATATAAGATGCATCACAATCTTTTAACAAATGAACCAAGGGAAGAATAAAGAACATAAGTCTCTAACAGAAACAGCTATGCAGGTAATTTTGTAAGTGTGTATGTTAACGGTCCACCTAGCATAGTAGTGCGCTAGTAACTAAGCCTTATAAGTCTTACACACCAATGTACAGGAGAAAAGAGAGCCTATCAGACATAAATTTTATTGTAAATATTACGAAAAACCGGTCGAAATTAGAACGCATATTCCTGGCTCGGTATTGGGGGAAATTGGCGCCAGCAAACAAAGACTGGCGCCAACTTTTAACTCTCTGGCGTCTGGCGCTACGGCTAAAAGTGTGGCGCCAAGCTCCTCTGGCCCCTGACGCTACTTCCCACATGCCTCAGCAGCTTTCTATGCTCGATAAAATCTTCCAGTTTCGCGTGGTGTTAGTTGTGAAAGACATTTCTCAAATTTCCTACGTGTAAAATCCTATGTTTTTAACTCATTATGGATGGTCTTTCCAATGAGAACCTTTTTATGCATATGACAATAATGTTAATCAAAATTACGCACATGAAATACTTAGAACTTTTCGTGTCTCATCCACTCATTCTAGATCATTGCAGAAACAAATTCAGGAATTAAAATAGAAATCCTCCCTAGTGGAGTCGCCAAAAGCTGTAGGGAATAATTTCAAGCCTTAAATCCCACTAGCTCGAACCCCACTGTGATCATACACTAAAGTACGGTGGCGTCCAAAAGGGAAGAAGATAGAACAAAAGAGTCGCCAACAAGTTTTTAAGGAACTTGTAAACCGTTCATAGGATGAAGGTTACACCCCTTAACGATCCAATAGATCGTCAACTTCATAAGGTCATGAACCAAATAAGGGTCCGGGGATGAAAGTACAAATCCAACCTAAAAAAAATTGAACCTGCCCTAATAATAGACCTCTACTTTATTCTGATCGTATTCATGTGCGCTTTTTAATTAACATGCAATCAATAGCATTAACCCTAAACCTGTTTATCTATGTTGGTTGAATTTAATGCACAAATAAACTATCATTGGCGATCACTTGAATTATAATCACAATTAACCTAACAAGATTATTAATTATCTTATTAAGCGTGATTGCAAATACCAAATTCCCTTTAAACATGCATCAAAGGTGTGATCAAGCAATAAATAAATCAAGCAACAAAGAATAAATAATCATAACAATAATTATAATCATAATCATGTTCATGTTAATATTAAAGCACAATAAAGATAGCAAGATCCTAGGCATGATACTAATAAGATTAATAACAAACCCTATCATGTCACTAAGCAATAAAAATCAAATCTTTAACCCTAACATGATATCAACAATCATAAATATTAGGAAGAGCATAGGAAACATCACAACAATCATATTAAATATTAAAATTACTCTAGACATGATACTATGAATCAAAATAACAATCTAAACATGATTTCTACATCATAATATCAATTAAAACCATTAAAGCACTTACTTTGATGGCTCGTACCTCATACTAATAACAAAATACACACGTTAGTAACTTCAAGGAAAATAATAATCAAAACAATTAAATTAAATAATTGAAATAGAGATTTGGGACCAAACCCTCAGAAATTAAAACCTTTCACGTCTAGGGCGAAGGCAACTTCGAATATGGCTAGGTGTATCTAGATCTTGTGAATGCGGAATTTTGTATGAGAAAACAAAGTAAGGAGAAAGAATTGAAGAAAGATGAATAAAATCAATTGGTGAATGAATGTAGATGATGATAATTGGTGATTCGTGAATGAAAACGGAGTTTTTAATACGATATTTATAGAGAAAATCGGCCAAAAAAGATAATTTAACAAAATAGAGTCTGACGCACGCAAAACAAGGTTGGCGCCAACCCTGGCTAACTGGCGCCAGGCACCAATGGCTAGCGCCAGACGCCAATGGCTAGCGTCTGGCGCCAAGCCTGGTTCCAGGCGCCAATGCCTGGGGTTGGACGCCAAACTGGATTTCAACGCGTTTTCGAAAATCTGATAAATTTCCCGTACTGGAGGATAAAATAATATAATTTCTTCGAAAATGCTATTTGATTTTGATTAAAACTCTGAAAAGTCAACAAAGTCAACTTATCAATGCTAATTGAATTAGGAATGAAAAGAAACTTCTAGAAGATTCTAGAAGACTAAAACCATTTCTAATTGCATTAGGAATGATAAATCACATTAGGCCCTCCCCTAGATCATTGGGCCGTACATAAGGCTCAAACCGGGTCCAGTTTAGTAAATTGGCCATAACTTCCTCAATATTCATCGGAATTGGGCTTATAATATATCATTGGAAAGGTCTTTGCAAGCCCCATCCAACTACACTACTATTGGACCCATATCATGGACCAACAAAACTGGATTGGTTGTTTTCTTAAAATAAAGTTTTAAAAACAGAGAGAAGAGAAAAGAAATTAAAACTTTCCGCAACACTAGACCTTTCCACACTTTCGTTTCATTCGATTATGATTCGACGTGAAAGGTACTCATCACTGAGTTTGGTTTTGGGGAGACACAAATGGGTTTCTACAGAAGGTTTTAAAGTGTTGTTTGATTTGGATTTTGAAGGTTTTAAAGTAAGTTAGTATTGCTGTAAATTTGATTGATTGGGTATTGATTGAGATGTTATTATTTGGCTTAGGAGAGGAGTTTATTGAAGGTGATTTCTAGTTAGTAAAGTGGCATACCAATTCGTTTGCTCAAGGTACGTACAAGTTACGAAACCTTTCTTTTAGGTGCATGTTTAAGGACGACGGATCGAGAACTTAGTATCATGTATAGGGATGACTGAGTTAAATTGTTTGGTTATACATTGAGAATTTCGTATGACGTGCACTATTTTATATTGCAAGTATTATTTGTGTTGGGGTTTGGTGAGTCCGACTCACCGCGGAAACAAACCCCGACCCAAGGAACCACTCGCAATAATTAAAATCATAAAGCATAAATAAATAATTACTAAGAAAAGATAACGAATCTTACCTTCGAAGCGAGCTTCGCCCAAAAACCGGGGCTCTTACTTGAAAGCTACGAGCACGTCAAGCGTCGCGCCTCCAACGGTATCCACCCACAAAAAGGCGAACACAACTTTAAGGTCTACTACCTGGGGGTTAGCGAGGTCCGACCAAAACCCGAGTGTTATATGAGTTTAAGAGTTTTTCCAATATTATGGAATGCTATTTTTAACTCCCACTCAAGCATCATTTTCAATGCCCAAAGTTGGGTATTTATAGGGAAAATCACTCCCATCAATGTGGGACAATGAGATTTCTCATTTTATTTTAAAGTTAAAATAAAATTATTAAGCAAACTAGTAATAAATCAACAAGTGTCAAGCATACATGAGAGAGTAGGTGAGGACCACTTGGAGATGGGGACCAAACTTGCTCCCCACTCTCTCCCTCACCTTATGCCACATGGCAATCCCACTTACTCCCAACCTTCCCCTTATACACGGCCGTATGGCCCGAGCCAAGCCACGAGCCCGACCCGAGCCCAGCCCGCACCTGCTGCTGCTGTGGCGCGGTGCGGCTGCTGCTGTGCCTAGCCGTGGCTGCAGCACGGTGCGCCGGCTCGTCTTGCCCTTAGCATTCGGATGCCCGGGGCACTCCGATGTTAGGGGTATGATCGGGAATATTCTTGGTTTATTATTATTTTGCGCGTCTCGTCTTTTATTATTTAGACTCGACTTCCGACGATCGGTTTCGACGCTCTAAGCTCGAATTACCGACGTCTAATTATTTAACACTCGGGCGACGAATTAATTTCTTCCGAATTAATTCGTCGAGTTTGTTAGCATATATTTGCTTGGGTGTGACCCGAAAGGTTCAATCAAGATTAAGCTGTAATATTAATTATATTAATATTACTGATCGAAAGCGGCCTCTACGAAAGCGGCCTCTACCCAGACATTCCGATCACTTGACCTTACTGAATATATTAGCTTTCTAATAATTCTGAACCCGCTATCAGAATAATACACTTGTTCGAAGGACACTATTCCTTTCAATTTGTACTCTAATTATGCAAGGTGCGCTTAGAGGCAAATTAAAGGTATATGATTGGTGTAATGATTAATTTATTACTCATTCATGATTATGCAAGCAGGATGAGTAAAGTAAGAATTTAAGTCTTCCAAGAGGAGGTTAAGGTTTTGGGGTGCCTTATGCACTCAAGGTGTTTATACACCGAGGTAGTAAAAGAATAAATAATAAATGTTGCTTGCCACTAATAAATCAAGAATTGAAATTGAAAAGTTGTTTTACTTGATTGAATTGATATTGGATTGATTGTATTGTTATGCATATGAGTCATCACCAAGTCTAAACCTGTAAATCACGTAAAGTGCAAGATGGATGAGCAATAAAACTCTGGATTGGTGCACTTCTGGAGTACTGACAATCAGGGGTTGGGGTACATGGGGTATTAGCCGTGTACTTTTCTCGAGGTCGTCTAATCTACGAGCCTCTTATTTCAAATATTTTTCAAAACTAGGAGTTAGGTGAGATCTCATACTAACTACGATCACGGAGTCGCGCCCGTGGTCGTTGGATGTTTATTGATGTTTTCGAAAGGAGGCATGGAGTTTTTCTTTTATTGATGTTCCAAATGGAGCATGGGTTGGACAACCTTGTCTATTGCGTAATCTAATGAATAAAAATAATGATTTACCTATTATTAATTAATGGAGTCTTAGTAATATAAATAGTTGAGTCGTGTGTTGAGTCTATAATTTAATGATGCATAACGATTGATTATTAGTAGCATGTTATGGATTTCTTAATTTATTTTGCAGCTTGTATGTACTCAGCTTTGCTGATTGCGTGCTTTGTGTGTCTTTCTTTGGTCATGACCTTCGCCTTTCAATGACCCTGTGACGATCCAATTTTTACACTTGTAATATTGGGGAGCAGAATTACCACAGGTTCTTACACCTGCAGCATTCATCAGGGTAGAGAGTTGGTTGTTTCCATTTTATTTCTTTTGCAAGTTTGAATTTATTTTAATTCGATTTTATTCGACACTATTTCTTTTGGGTTTGAATTTATTTGAACACTGAATTTAATCACTTACTACGTACTTTTATTGGGTTTTGAATAAGGGCCTTAATGGTTCCAAGTTGTATGACTTAATTTGGTTTCATTCGTTGGTTTTGAAACTTATTTATAACTGATTTAGTTTTTCCTCTGCTATTTTTTGATAAAGCCTTAACGTTTGAACACGTGGCGGTAGCACGCCAGTAATTCTCTTGAATATTAATCAGGGTCCTCACAGGTTTAAAGAGAGAATTATTGGGGTGTTACAATTAGTCAGTGTCTTCTGTAAATGATCAACGTCCTATTCTAATATTAATATTCCAATAAACGTGCAATGTTGTAATATTACTCAGTTTAAACCTCACATTCCAGCATACAACATATTATTTTAAGATAAAATCACCCAGTAGCTTTATTCAACAAACACAAATAAAAACCCAATAATGAGTGGTGTGCGATGCAGAAATGCACGACAAAAATCTAATAAAGTTACAATGATAAAATCAATAAAAGGTTCACATTTAACGATTAAAGGTGAAAGTAGCAACAAGAATTGGAAATGAACAATCCAAAATCTAGGAAATGAGAAATATATGTATACCTTAAGAGGGTGTTTGTTTAGGGGGATAAAAGGAGTGGGACAAGGATAAAAAATTGGGATGGAAGGAATGTAGTGTTTGTTTAGAGGGATAAGGATTATAAGGCGGTTAGGGATAAGGATTAAATCACCCACTTATCCCTCCATTTCTATAACTAAGGAGGTGGTATAAAGGGAAGGGATTAAAATAGGTTTTAATAGACTAAATTACCCTTAATGAAATTGAAAAGTATGGAGAAGGGTAGAAGTTAGCAAGGGTATTTTTATAAATTTATTACTAATCCCTAATTTCTTTCCCCTACTTACCAAACATGGGATAAAAATTATTTATCCTTGTCTCACCTATCAATCCCCTATCTTTATCCTCCCTTGTTATCCCTCTTATTCCCATCCTTCCAACCAAACGCCCTGTAAAGACCTCAAAAGGGGAAAATTGCAAGAGGAAGATGAACAATAATAGGAGGCGGAGGTGCCGTCATCATCAATAAACCAAACAAAGAAAATCCCGAATAATTTTGTAAAATTGAATTGAAACCTGGAAATTGAACATTGATGAAGGAGCAAGTCCAGAAGATAATAATACACCCTAACTTGTTCAAATTTCAAACAAGCCTGATGATTATTTACAAATCCAAGTAGAATAAGAACCTAATTAGATTAACGATGAAATGCTAGACGGAGAAATGATTTTCGATGATTAAAAACAAACATCTAAATTAAAGAGTTTGAGCAAAAACCCAAGAAAAAAAATTTGAAGACTAATTTCTCAGAAATGAGCAATTTTTTCATCTTTCTTTCAACCACATCAAATAGAAGGAGAGAAAATATCTTACAAGTTTATGAGCTTCATTAAATTGATGCCAAAAACTTCGCCATCACCATAACCTCCGCCACCGTTTATCGCATTTTCTCTCCTCTTAATAGTTTCATCACCAGTCCTTCATCAAAAAATAGTTCGATTTTTCAATCGAAATTCAAAAAATTAATTAAGAAGCTTTATTTACCAAAAAACATAGCACAAAAAAGGATTAGTGGGCTTCTATTAAAATTAAGGCTATACCCCAGATTGTCAAACTGACATTAGATGCTTATAAAAAGGATAAAGATCTTACCTCAAGAAGCTGCTTTAATGGAGGAAATGTAACCTTAGATCATCTTCCACAATCGTAACCGCATCGCCAAAACCGAAAACGTTGAGAAGAATCGAAGCCCATAACCATGGTCAAAGGGATGATTGGTGGTTTTGAGCTCACCGCCATCGTCTCTGAAGGTGTTGAACTTTTCTCTCTAGGTTTCTCTCTCCTTGTTTCCCCTAAAAAGCACCTCACCTTTTTTTCCCTGAGGAGATGATATGAGAGAGACAACAAAGGAAGTCGGTGGGACTGTGGAAGAGCAACAGTCATCGACCAATTAGGAATAGGGGCAAAATTGACAATTCATTAATATTGGGGGCAATGTTGTAATAGCACCACATATTACTATTCATAAGAGCAAGATTAGCCCTGGGTCTTAAGAATTTAGATGACATCATCAATTTCTAATTTTGCAGTCTTAAGACAAGACTTTATTGTTTTTAAGCATTTATGAAGTTTGATCTTAATAAAATCTGAAGTGGGTCTTGAAAATTCAAGACTCAACTTCAGACTCAATACAACACTCAATTTTTATTTATTTTTTTTATTTTTAAAAAACTTTAATAATTTAATTTATATGTAAAAAAATAAGTTTGAGCGACTGAAGAGATAAATTTTATCGAGTCTCGAGGAGTCTTAACATAATTATAAATTAAAAAATAATTAAATTTTATCTAAAAAGCTGATGTGGTAATGGATTAAAGTCTTAAGATGAGACTGTGCTAATCTTGCTCTAAGCTACAATATCAAGTTTGCATTTTTATAAAGGTTAAGGATATGGAGAATGTATAAAAATGAAGAGTCTAAAAATTGCTTTAAACATTGAAATAACCACAATCAATTAATCAATTTTGGTGATTCAAGAGACAGTTTTAAGGCTTTTGAATTCAATGGGGGTAAATAAGTAAAATAACATTTTTAAGGATATAAATGTCCATGCACTATTCATAAAAGTATTCTCCCACTTTTTATAAGGTAGGGATTTACGCTAAATAATTCAATAGTCTTGATGAATGGCCCAAAATATAGGTGTAACCTACATAGTTCATAAGCATATGGAGTAGTCAATTATTATTACAACATCCAGAAAGGTTATCAATTTTTGAAAGTTTATTGTTGATTTACGTACCTCCATTTTATAAAGATGTTACATTTTGAATATTGATACATTATTAACTTATTATACGTAAACTTTTATTTGACTGAAAAAAATCCCTCATTTGTAGAGTGATTTAACCACAACCCTTGAAAGGGCCAACTCTCAAATCTCATGCATTGAGTTTTTTTTTTTTTTTTTTTTTCCTATAACCTTCAATTAAATAACTTTCAGTTTTTTTTTTCCCTAATAACTTTCCCATCTTATATACCATGTGTTAGAACAGATACAATCTAGTAAGAATAAATATATAGTTATAGGGCCACGTTAGATTTGTGTGATTGTTAAAATGTTACTACATTATTATTATTATGCAATGGAGTTGATCTATAAATTAATCTAAGAATATTATTTGTGATCATAGTTTATTGAATTGAATATGTTTTAAAATATATTTTTCAATTATGAAATTTTCATAATTTTTACTAAATAAATTATAAATACAAATGATTTAAAACTATGTGTTTGAAATTACACATAATATACAAGTATAACAAATAAATACGAGTAATTTGTTATAATCATAATTTGTTTTGTCTTTGGTTTAATTTTGGTGATAATTATAGTTGGTGTTGTAATATTGTAGAATCGACTCTTCACCTTGTCCTAAGGCTGAGAGGAGGAGGATACGGAGCATTGTCATGTTATCAACCAAGTTTATTGGCTTTGGCTCAAAAATATAATCAACACAAGAAGGTTTGCCGCAAGTATGTTTCTCCAACTTCCCTACGAGATCCTGCTCGGTTTTTTAAACCTATCGATATCGATTTTGCATTGTTAATAAATGACTTTTCATACGGAGTAACGTATATTCTAGTCAAATATTGTCTCGTAACAATATTAATACAATAAAACTTAACGTGGTCCGATTGGACCATTTAGCAATGTTGTTGTACAAGTATCAAAATATCATTTGTGACTTTAACCATTAATGTCAATCAAATTGAACCCGGGATAATATTGTACGAAGTCCCTAATGTCTTAATGAAACGAATGTTTGTGATGCCTAGGTGCTATGCTCGGCTACCTTTGAGGGCTACAAATTGCCGCAAGAAGAAATGTGGACATACCAATGAGGTATTCATGATAATCATTTGATTGTTAATCAACCATTATAAAAAATAATGCTATATATTACTATTATTAATGGTTTGTTTCTTTGTCAATTATTTCATTATACTTTATTTGATTTGATCTTGTTATATTTAACTCGAATTATACAGATAAGGGCTAAGAAGGTTTATTTGGCGAATGGGAAGGCCGGAGCACGGTGATCTTTGCTCGGAAGCTGTGATTAAGGGTTACATTAGGGATATTGAATATGATAGTATTACAAATATGTAGAATTTGATGATGCATATATATATATATATATATATATATATATATATATATATATATATATATATATATATATATATATATATATATATATATATATGTGATTAACAGTACACTTTTCCATAGATTGTATTACCTTCATTTGATCACCTTTTCGATCTTAGGCTTGTTGAACTATTGTTAGTTTACAGCGAGTTTATCTCAAGTTATCAATGAAGTTAGTTTTTTATGGTAATTTTTGAAATGTCTATAACCATCAAATTCACTACTCCGTTAAAAAAAAAAAAAAAAAAAAAATCAAAATAACAAGAGGAATTATATTGATGTGTAGGTAGATACTTTGGTCTAACAAACAACCCTTAAATAACAAGTGGAATGATGGTATGCTGGTATGATTAGAGTAATTTATTGTACATCAGCAATTCTCACACGTGTGCCATTAATAAATTCATTATCCCCAATACTCTGCATTATTCTCTCTCCTCTCTCTCTTCCAACAAACTTCCAAATTTTCAACCACATTCAACCTCAAATTACAATAAGGTTGTTTTTAGGATGATCTCTCATAGAGTTTCGCTTCCTTTGATCTATATTTCTCAGTCTGTAATTGATTTTTCATTTTATCAAATTTCGAACCCTAACATTCTTAAATTGTTTTTTTTTTTTGGTGCTACATTCTTAAATTGTGATATTTCGCTCTCAAAATTTTCTGATTTAGGTTTCTAATTGGTATTCCGATCAAATTTCCGAGCCTTCATAACTTTGGATTTAGAGAACGAGTGAAGTATCAGTCGAAAAATCAGGTATTTTTTTCCATTTTAAAATCAAATTTTCATTTTTATGTATAAAAATTACCCTTTTTACCCACAAAAGTTACCCTTTTATCTATAAAAGTTACCCTTTTTAGCCACAAAAGTTACCCTTTTTATCTATAAAAGTAACCCTTTTTACCCACAAAAGTTACCCTTTTCGTGCATAAAAGTTACCTTTTCTACCCACAAAAGTTACCCTTTTTACCCACAAAAATTACCATTTTTATCTATAAAAGTTACCCTTTTTACCCACAAAAATTACCATTTTTATCTATAAAAGTTACCCTTTTACCCACAAAAGTTACCTTTTTTATGTATAAAAGTTACCATTTTTATCTATAAAAGTTACCCTTTTTACCCACAAAAGTTACCCTTTTCGTGCATAAAAGTTACCTTTTCTACCCACAAAAGGTACCCTTTTTATACATAAAAGTTACCCTTTTTATACATAAAAGTTACCCTTTTGCCCATGGAAGGTACCCTTTTCATGCATAAAAGTTACCCTTTTTTTCTTCTTCTGCTTCCTTTGCAACGTTTCTTCTTTTCTCAACATCTTTCTTTTTCTTTGCAATTGCAGCCTTTTTTCAATTGCATTAACATAATCAACATTTTGAAAAAATCATGAAAAATTTATAAAACACACCTTCATCTTCTAACGACTTCTTTGTACTCTTCTTCTTCACCATTGTACATAGAATCAAATAAAAAACAAAGAATAAAAACAAAATAAAAAAACCTAAAAATCGAAGAATCAAAACAACTAAAACAAACAAAAATCTCATAAAATTAAGTAAACAAACTTAAATTTGCAAATAACAACTTCATAAGTGAAAGAGAAGAGAGATAATCGTTGTGGAAGAAACATAAACCAGGTTGAATAGAGATAGAATTGCCAATTGAGGAAGAAAGAAGAGAGAGAAAGAACTTTCTGAATGAATGAGAAAGAGAGAGAAAATATTGGTTTAATACTCTAATGTTAATTCTAATTTAAATGGTTTAAGCTAAATGAATACTCTAATCTATCACGGGTCACGAAGAGATAGATCGAGAACACTTTGAACATTGCCCAACAATTAGAGACCATAGTATTGTGTATCATTTTGGAGTAAAGAATAAGATGTAGTATGTCATTTTTCTATGTCTGAATGAAATGGAGGATCATCAATTTATAGTGGAGCACTCCACCCCAAAGAAGCAACCCCTCACGATTATTATGCAATCACCCAAAATCAAGGAGTATCAATAATCCAATACCTCCCTTAAAATGAGTGAACAAATCAATTGCTTATTATGAACCTAGACTACTCAATACTCACTGGAAAACATGCATACCCCAAAGTCAAAGAGTATCAAATTACCTCCCTTTAATTATGCATGTCTATCATTTAGCTTCTAACTTTGTAGAGTATCAATAAGCTAGCAAACGGTTAGAGAGAAAATGGTGATAATCAAAGTCAACTGATTGATATTAATTAAGGCAATCAACCAAATTTGAGTTTTGATCTTTTGAAGCAAAATTGATGAACCTAGTCTTGGAGTTGTACTATAGGAATAAGAGAATAACTCCAACAACCAACGCCGCACAATCTGTATACATAGCAATCCTCTTGAAGCCCTTAGCTAGTGCCCATGTTAGAGCTCCCAAACAAGCTTTAGCTTCTGCACAAAATGCTGTCTCCACAATCCCATAGCTTCCCCCTCCATCATAGACTATATCCCTATTGTTCCCTGCAAAAACATTGAAGTTGTTCCCTACATTGTTGTATGTTTCTTCTTACCATAGCCACGCTACCAACTTCATGTCTAAAGACTCTGCCATTCCTAGTCACCCATAAACTCCATAGAGTAATGATAAGAGCACTATTGATTCCATCCTTGCTATATAACAACAGAATTTGACTCT